TCAAGTAAACTGCTGGGAGAGATGAAAGACTTCTATGCCAAAACCACCAAAGTCAAACAGTAGAGTTAAAGAGTGAGCAAGCAGAAAGAAAAGGAAGAGGGGGAAAAACTGAATAAAAGGGGCTGAGTTAGGAAATGGGTAAAGAGGAATTTCAACAATGGGAGGGCAAAAGGGAAACAAAATAATAAGGATATGTTGCCAATAAAGCCACATTCAGTTCAGTGATGGTATGTGCTCTGCTGAGAGCCCTTTTTTAATTTTACAAATCCTTGTCTGAGTAAGGAGAGGTAATAAGGGAATTTTGTGTCATGCTTCTGGGTTTTGGCATCTACAGATGCAGCATGAACCACGGTTTCCCTGGTCCTACAGAGAAGACATAAAGCCTACATATTTATTTATATAATTTAGAGGCTATCAACTCCTAATGACTCTCAGTGGTTTACAATTATTATAAAGAAAAAAAATACAAAAAAACCAAAGAAATCAGAAATGGCCCAAACACAAACATATAAACAATGACTCCCTTCGAAATTCAACAGGGACCTAACCTTTCCTCTGTCCAAAGACTTGGAAGAAGAGCCAGGCTGTTAATAGGTTTCTAGCAATCATCAGAGTGGGAGCCATCCAGATCTCTCGGGGATATAATTCCAGAGGGCAGGCTCCATGGCAGAGAAGCACACTTCCTGGTTTCCATTAGATAACACTGTTTAATTGATGGGACCTTAAGCTGTGGACAGCAATAAGTAGGTAAATTGGAAAAGCAATGGATAACAGCCAGACCTGACTTCCAGTGAAGGTATGGCAAGTTACACATATCTCCATGAAGAGCAGAGACTGAAGAACTGATGAATTGACCTGCTCTTTGGAATGGACAAGGAGAAGATGGGAGATCGCTCACATGTGGACTGGACAGCTGCTCCTTGTATAGTAACTGCAGGACAGCAGTATCCTGTGGGTTTGAGTGCCAGGAGACAAAGGGATCAATCATCAAGCTCATAATTACAGTAAAGCCTTTTAAAAGACACTAAAAGTATTAATCCCATTTCTAATCACTTTCAGAAATTGCCTATTTAGTTATTATGAAGCTACCAGAGATCTTCGGAACAATAAGTTTCAAAAGCCACCTGGTGAGTCTATCTTCATCTCTGAGCAAAAGAAAAATTAATTATAAGTTTAAGAAAGAATTTGAAGAATTTGAAATAAATGGCAAAGGACTAAATAAGCTTTTGAACCAAGCGTGTTATAAATGAATTAAGGATCCAGACAAATTTGGAATATTGAAACTATAAGATTTATTGCAAAACTATATAAAATAAATAGCTTTTAGTGGAAAGCAGAATTATTTTGTCTATTGTAAATCATAACAATAGATTAGAGGCTTTATTATTTAAAGTGGACACTAGAAAGGACTAAAGAAAAAATACCTTTGATTTGGATTCAAGATTGAAATTTACAAAATGACACAAAACACTATAACATCTGAACTATTAAAGCCTTCCAAGAATGGAAGCAGAAATTAACAAACAATAACAACAATAGTAATAATGTTGGTGTCTATGGATAAACTAAGTTTAAAGGAATTATAGATGAAACATGTTTGCTTGATACAGAAATTAGAAATATTGGATTAAAAAAGGTGGGAATTATAAGATTACAAAGATATTTAAAATGGTAGGCTAAAGGAATAACTCATATAAATATTCTTTATTGGATATACAAAAGAACTGGCTTTAAAAATTAAAGGGGAAATGGAAATGATTAAACCAATAGAATGATCTGGATCTTTTCATTGAATTTACAAAAGAAACTTAATAGCCTGAAAGAAGCCTATGCAATGGGACAAAAAAGAATTGAAGAGAGATCAATTCCTATAACAATATTTGAATGAACTAAAGATTAATATTTTTGGAAGTAAAGGAATATAAAATTGGTTTTTAAGGTTAAAATAACACATTTTGATGAAATTCTGATAACCTTTTACAGACTTTTTGCTGACACTAGAACTGAAAAGTTGATATCTTATGGATTTGCTCAAAGGGATGCATTATTGGAAGAAGTTATCTGTAACCTTATAGGTGAAGAGTTAACAGATTTATACTTCTGGTGATGAAGAATGGAAGTCACCTCTTCATATATTTATTTTCTTTTTATTTCATTCTTTTTTGTTTTCTTACTCTTTAGGGTTTTTGGGTTTTTTTGCACTTCTTACTCTTGTCAGTCAGCAGGAGTGCTGATTTACATTAGCTTATCAGGTACTTAGGAACTGAGGATAGGGCAGCATAAGGAAACAACAATCAACAACTTAATAACTGGCCATCAACCCCCCAATTAACAACTAAAAGCCACGCACAACCAGGCTCTACATAAATACTATGCATAGAACAGCCCAGTGCATCCATTTTGGAGACAGAGACTGTTCCCCGAGGATGGACTCCAGCAGGAGCGAGGAAGACTAAACTTCTAATCCCAGTGGTCGACTCAGATCCTGCAACATTACCCTTGGACATGTATATTTGCCTTCATTTGCAACATTCTTCTCTCTTAATTTACTTTGTATAAAATTATATTACTGAATTTTTTTTTAAATAAAAATGATATATAATTTAAAAAAGAAAAGTAATAGATAACAAATTATCAGTCAACCTGGGGCAAAGCACAGGAAACAGCAGAAGGTAGAAGAAAATGTGAAATCAGAATTGACACAGGGTGCTTATTTGATGGGCATGAAGAAAGAGGATGTAAAAACAGAAAGTACATAACAAATTATAAATGAAGTAAATCATTCTGGTTACTTTTAAAGATACTAATTATTAACTCATTAGTGACTTGAGTTTTACATTTGCTAATTAAAAGATATGCACCTGGCTATGTCAAGTGAGGAATTGCAAAAAAAATGTTATTGGGTACTATATTCACTCTTCAAGCTCATAACCAATCTCACATATTTATTTAAAAGTATTCAGGGGTTTGCTGTAAGTCATCATCATAATGCATGGATCTCTGACAAATATTTGGGACTTGCTATGGTAATGTACTAAGATGGCACAATGGCTCAGCAGTTAAGATCTGGGCTTATTGTCTGGAAAAGCAACAGCCCCAGGTTCAAGACCCAAGCAATGCGCAAAACGGTGAGCTCCTGTCCTCCCCCTAGCTTCTGCCAAACTAAAAGTTCGAAAACATGCAAATGCAAGTAAATAAATAGGGATCACTTCAGTGGGAAAGTAACAGTGATGTCATGCTGGCCAGAAACATCTTCTAACACCACTGACTCAATGAAATGGAGATGAGCACCTCCCCCATAGATGGCAACAACTGGCAAAGTAAAATCTGCAGGGACTCCTAACTCTTACCTAATAGTACTTAATACCCAAGTCAATGGAATATATTGTATTTTAAGTACTGTCTCCTTAAGATAGGGATGGATCAACCCCCTACTCCAGGAAGCAATGGAGTCAGGAAGGGCAAGTTATCCCAAAAAATTGCATTCCTCATTTTTTCAGGCACTTGTCTACAACTTTGAGTATACTAGCTAGAAATAATACAAAACAATAGGTTAAGTGCTGGCTATTGCTATATCCTCCCACCTTACTACAACACTGGAATTCAAGTTAAGCTGGAGTTAAGACTGATCCCAGTTACTTTATCCACAAGGAATGCTGTAGATTGCTTATACCAATTTATTAACTGCTGTGTCATCCCCTTTCTCACATCCTCATAGAATTGATGCCTTAGTATGAAAAAGCAATGCAAACTTACTTCTCAAATATATACAGTGAAATCTATGAAGTATGCATTCTTAGCTGTATCCACACTATGTGATGTTGCTCCAAATGTGTTTTATTTCATGTTCAATGCAATTCATTCTCAATTTACCGCTATTTACACTCAAGCTGTTGCCTCTTCTGGTTCACTCTGCTCAAATTCTCTATTAAATGGAACAACAGAACTGGCTAAACAGTTGCCATTCTCCTCCCTATCCACTAAACCTACTCAATTGTACATAGAAGACAGACCTGGAAGTGGCGAACTCTCTAATTTTTCTCTCTGCCAGACAAATGACACAACAGGCTGGCATTTTTATCTTAAGACTAATTTCTGGATGATAATGATCTAATTGGCAATGATAAGTGCAATTTAGTCTTTATCTCATGGATTTATAACTTATGAAATGTAAGAGCTTATTATTCTATTTTTTGTTCACATCTGCTTGACTATAACCGACATTAACCACTTCTGAAGGCAAAACTAATATAAAATACAAATAATACAAAAGCTACTAATACAAAAATGACTTGCTGAATACATTAGAAAAATGCTGGTATATTTCTATAACATTATTCATTTAAATAAACATTAAAGAATGAAGAACAAACATCTCCAGGTCAAGACTTCATGCTCACAGAAATATGTCACAATTGATGTAGGAGATGACCAGGCTGAGACCCGAGGAAGGAGTCAAATGCACCATCAGTCATGAGTTCCTTCATATCCACAAGAGATCTAAGTCCAGCCCACCTCGAATTCCTTTCTATTCTTAATTCCTGCTAATTTCCCTTGGCTGTTAGTAATTCAGATGAATGTAGAGAGCTTATGCTTACAATAAACCTTTATACACATTTGCACTGCCTGGATCTCCTGATTTCCCTGGTGCTTGACAACTGACTTGTCACTGACACAACTTTCAATGGAGATGTTCCAAAATGCACAAATAATCAGATAAAGAAATCTTATTAAAATATATTGATAGTAATAAACATTGAATAATCACAAATACGTAAATGGTCAGTCTCTACCCCACCACTCCAATCCTGTTGATGAATGCCCATCAAAATATATTGTGGATTAGAAGAGAATTTTCTCCATCCATGTACAGTTGACAATAACAGCTCAATCAGTTGAACATATTAACTGCATTTCATATATCCTTTAAGACTATCTGCAACCAAGTATATAAAACACAGAGATAAGATTTCAAGAAACACATTTATATAGAGACTTACTATTTTTTTCTTCTGGGCTTTTAAATCTTCTAAGGCTTCATCTAGAAAATAATATTTACAATAATATTTTAATACTAATAGGACAAGCATATCCACACCCACAATGAAGAAAATATTGGATACAAAAGGTATTTTCTTCACACCCTGATCTGGTAAAAGTTCTAATGGAATATTACCCATTCTCTTCTGGCTAACTAATGGGATATTTAATAAGGCACATCATTATTCATAATCATCAGCTTATCAATTTTGCTGCAAGTGAATATGGTAACTTCGAGTTTTTATACAATGCTGTATCAAATAAACTATTATTAAAGGTAATATTGTTTTCACATGTCATATCTTTATAACCAAGGCAAGAAATTGAAGTTGATATGAAGCTACTATCATAGAAACATTATAGACTGGGAAAAGAATATGAGCTTTAAGTTTAAATAAAAATATCGTTTTAAAATATTAAAAAGCAATCCCAGAATTAAGCAGATATTTAATACTATACAAAATTAATAAGCCCATTCATTTAAGAACTAAACATTCATTAAGAATTCTAATGCAGGTTGACTTCCAGGCTGAGCCCTCCTCGCTGATGGACCATAGATCGCGACTGTCCACAGCTATGATCCGTGCTCTTTCGTTGGAGAGCCCCAATCATCGTGATTAGGGGCTGAAGCTGCCTTGGAGGGGCGGTGGAGTAAGAGGAAGCTGCCAGCCAGGTTGAGGGGAGCTGTATCTCCCCTACTGGGCTTGGTCTTTTTCCCCCCACTGAAGCAGTGGTCCAAAATGGCCACCCCGAAGAGGAGGACTCAGCTGGACTACGATTTGTGCAGGAGTGAAGAAAGAGGTGGATAACATCTGAGCCGGGACAATTGGGAGAAACAACTAAACAAAAAGTACCCCGAGATTAAGGTAATATTGAACTCTTAAGAAAAGAAAAGTGAGTGGCGAAAATACAAAGGGACAGGAAAAAAAGAAAAGAAAATAATTTTGACAGCTAAGTGGGGCTTCGAACTGGGGAAGGAAGAAGCTGGAATTAAAGACTTAATTAAATTGGATTAAAATATTTACAAATTGGAGATTGGACTGCTCTGGAATATTGAGGTTTGAAAAACCCTAAATAATAAAATAGGGGGGAAAGGTGAAGACTTTATATAATGGAGAGTGCCATCCTTTGGATAAAAACTTAAACTCAAACAAAAGGGAAATCATCTTGTTTCTGTATGAACTTGTGTTGATATAATGTTAAAGAAATATTGAAACAAAGAAAGACTCTTAGAAAGTGAAAGCTGAACCAGAATAAAGAAAGAAGCAAGGAAAGACTGACTGTGGGATTGATTGATGTTTTTGGTACAGACCCTGGGTTGGAACAATTGAGAACTTTAGAAAATTTGAAGAAGAAAGAAGGAAAGTAAAAGTGTTTTTTGTGGACTTTAACGATTATAAGAGTGTGTAATGATGATATCTCTTCTGGAATTAAAAATGGAACTTAAAAATATGAGAGAATTACTACAGGAAAGAGATGAATCACTTTGTTCTGTGTTAGAAGAAATGGAAATGGCGATTAAACAAAAAGAAAGAACTTCAGAGGAGGAGTGGGCTCAAGGAGAAGCCATCTTAAATAGACAATTAACACAAAGTACACTACAAAGACGAGGGGAAAGAAGGAAGGTTAAAAAGTTGACAGTTAAGAAGGTAATCAAAAAGGGGAATACCTGTGAAATCAGGAGAGGTAGAAAGGTGCAGCAGAAAAGGGGAAAGGAAGATATTAAGAAAGAGAAGGATATAAACTGGAATGAGAAAAGATATGGGAAAAAGAGGGGGAGGAGAGGCAGAAAAAAACAGGTGCAGGAAATAAAGAAACACGGAAATAGTAAAATGATGAAAAGAAATTGTTTTTTTAGAGATAATGGTTGATGAATTAAAAAGGGGGTGCTGCAGGGTGACAAGGGGTAACAAGAATATATTTGCAATTAAAAAATACTTAGAAAATAGGATAATATAGATTATTAAAGGAGGGATAGATACTGATAACTCTTATTAGATGAATATACATTTTTAATTTTATCTTTAAAAGAAAAGCTAGGTTAACTTAAGAAATTGTAATAATTGAAATGAATTTGAAGATGTTTAAAAATGAGGTCAATATCAGTAACCAGGAATTAAATAGTCAATTTTTCCCTTTTACCTTTTTGAAATTAGAAATAAAATTAAGGGGGGAAAATATATTGCGGAATCCAAATGAAAAGAATGTAATGATTACTATTGTAACTACTTAAAAATAAAGGTTTATTGGGAATTAAGATGAGGGAATAAAGGTATATTTTAACCACTGAGGTGTCACACTCAAAGCAGTAAAAGGGGGGAAACCTAAGTTTGTTTCTTTTTCTCTTGTGTTAAAACTTGTATTAATCTAGAATTTATAGAAAGAATGTATGATGAAAAGAAAATATGACAGATTAAAGAACTATTTAAATAAATAAGCTAATACAGACTATTAAAAGGAAGGAGACACATTGGTAACCTTTTTTTTTCTTTATTACGCAAACATATATTGTTATTTTTACTCTTAAAAAATATTAAAGGATTATATTTGAAATATTTGAAATGAAATGAAAGGATGTTTGGATTGGGATTAATGTAAGAGATTTGGATTAATTTGTTTGTTTTTCTCTTTTCTGAAAATTTGGAATGGAAAAGGTAGTAATAATTCTATTATAGTAATAATTCTATTATGCATATATGAATGTATACTTATTGTCATATTTGTATGTAAAAGCGATGATCCGGAAATATGTTGTCCACTAAAAAGAACCTTTTGTTTTTATGTGAAAAATTGAATAAAACTTGTTTAAAAAAAAAAAAGAATTCTAATGCAGGTTGCATAATAATGTTGTAATATTTTAACCCTTCTGGAAAAAAAGAAAAATTAACTTTAAAGTCTGAAGTTCCTGAAACATAAATGTTTAACTCAAAGCAACTGAAAAAAAATATTGAAATATAATATAAAAAATATTGAAGTATAGTACCGTGTTTCTCCAACAATACGGCCTCCACCAATAGAAAGCCCCACCATGTTTTATTGGCATAAAATCAAATTAAGCCCCTCCCCCCAAATTAAGGCCCATATTAAACATGCGAAATGGGGGGGAATGGCGGGGGGGGGGCTTGCCGTTAGGAATTACTTTTGTTGCATGCCCGGATATGGTGCTGGCTGCGTTGGTGGGGCACTTCATATTGGGAGACCTTCCACCGTTGCTTTCCCTTCTCCCTTGCTGCCGTGGCGTTAGAGCAACGCCGTGGCGTTTGGCGCAGCCACGTGTGGCCAGTCAGGGCTCCTCCCTGAAACCGGAGCCCTGAGGAGACACTTGGCTTCAGGCGCTCCCATTGCCGCCTTCCCTTTGCTTTCGAAGGTAAAGCGAATTATTTTAAAAACGACACCCTACTACAACAAAGCCTCCCCTGCTTGAGAGGGCAGCCCAACCCCACGTGGGGAGGTGAATCTCCCGGGGCCTCTTCGGTTCCTCCCCAACCTCCCTACACTGCGCGCCTCTGACGCGCTGGTCCCTTCAGCCCAGCGAGCTCTTCCACCTCAAAGAAAGGCCAGGTGGGCGGCTGCAGAGCAGCAGCAGTGGGTCCGAGCCGCTCGCAGCGGAAACAGCCACCACCCTTAGCCCGATGCGGGGAGAACGACCTAGGTTAGCGACCGCCAGCCCATCCTTCCCGCCTTTGGAGGCACCTGCACCAAGCACCTCCGCGGCCAGCCTAGCCACGCCGCTTCCGACCGACTCCTTCGGGAGCGTCTGCCGAGGTAGTCTTCGCGGCTCAGTTTCCCCTACCCACCCCGGCCAGCGGGTCCTCCTTTCGTGCGGAGGGCTGCGGGAGAAAGCGCTCGCCCAAGAGGATCTCTCCCTCTCCCTCCCTGCAAGGTCAATGTCTGCGCTGCGGCTGACGAGGAGGAGGCTGCAGCCAGTTCCTCCTGCTTGCTGAGAGGTGAGGAAGCCGCGGCTTTACAGAGCAAGCGAAGCGCTGCTTGCCCGGGCGAGATTTGGGAACGAGGGGCAGGAGGAGGCATCCGCGCACCCGCGGCTCGCTTTCCTGGCTCTGCCCAGCCCACACGGCTCTGGTGCAGCACTGGCGGGGAGCGAGCACCTCCCCGCCGGACCCTCCACTCATCCCTGCCCTTTCTTTGAGGTGGAAGAGCTCGCTGGGCTGAAGGGACCAGCCCGTCAGAGGCGCGCAGTGTAGGGAGGTCGGGGAGGAACCGAAGAGGCCCCGGGAGATTCGCCTCCCCATGTGGGGTTGGGCTGCCCTCTCGGGCAGGGGAGGCTTTGTTGTAGTAGGGTGTCGTTTTTAAAATAATTCGCTTTACCTTCTAAAGCAAAGGGAAGGCGGCGACAGGAGCACCTGAAGCCAAGTGTCTCCTCAGGGCTCCGGTTGCAGGGAGGAGCCCTGACTGGCCGCACGTGGCTGCGCCAAACACCGCGGCGTTGCTCTAACGCCTCGGCAGCAAGGGAGAAGGGAAAGCAACGGTGGCCCGAACCCAAAGGTCTCCCGAACATCCAAGCTGTCGCCGCCCCCCCCCCCACCCGAGGATGCAAGGCGGGGAATTAAGTCACCCCCGAAAAGACGGCCTAGCCATTTTTAAGTCACCCCCGAAAAGACGGCCTAGCCGTTTTTTCGGGGATCAAAAAAAAATAAGGCCCGGCCTTATTATGTGAGAAACACGGTAACAGAATTCTAGATACAGATGGCTCAAGAACATCGCTGGGCCACTTCAAAGCTAATGTCAAGATAAATAGAACTGAACTGAGAGATTTAACGAATGCAAGGTTTATATACCAAAGGCACCCACATAATTTTAAAATAAACAGCTGTTACAATCTATTCAAATGCAGTGGACTGGTTATAAAGAAAGAATGCTACTATAACTTAATTATTACATGCTAAGTGAAGTTGGAAAAGTAGTTTCACATCACCAGTTAAACAAGAAGTTCAAGAAATGGGATCAAGTAAACCATGAGCTCACAGAAGTACTGGCAAAGGT